TGATGGTTGGGTTTGGGTTAGCTGTTACTTACACTTTCATATCCAAATATTCTTTGCTATCATTTTCTCGTATTTGGATTTCTTCTAGCTTGAGTTTAAATCCCTTGTAGGAACTATTTAAGTTCTTTAAACATTACCACAAAATCTTGCTATAGCTGATGTTTGTACATTTTTAGGTTTAATGGTTAAGCCAGTCGTGTGTTCAACCCTTTGTGAAGGCACCAGGTTTCAATTTAATTTCAAGTTTGAAACGACAAATAAAAACTGAGTAAAAACAATTCTAAGTCATCAGTTGGGGACAGTAAAAGCAGCTTTGTTGATCCTTTGCCTAGAGTTGAAAGCTTAACATGCTAGCTCTTGAATGGACTAACCCTTATTGTCTTAGAAAGATATGAAGTTCCCCTAGCAATCCATGGGACAGATAATGTAAAGGTCATCTGTGTCTGTGGACCACAGTTAATGAGGGTGTCATGTGGCCAGCACAACAACAAACTAATATTAGGTGCACTCAAGAGGCACCCTAAAATCCCGAAATTAAAAATCCCAGTCTTTGCCAAGATTAAAACATAACATTGTTTAAGTACTATGAACACACACACACTGGACATGACCTTCTGACTCGCTGGACACATGCAGAAAATAAACAACTGTTACACTACACGCAACAACCAACCGCCTTTATTTTTCCCCAACTATCAGGTGGACACAGAGGCACCCAAAACATCCCAAAATTAAAAATCCCAGTTCGGAAATGCGCTTTACCACTCAGCCACCTCGCCTTCAGAAACATATGAGCTATCTAAAAGGTGTTTGTTTTTTCTCTACAGAATTGTTTAACCCTCCTTCTTTGGACAAAGTGAAAATCATTCAAGAAGAACCCAAAATGCTGAGTATATGCAACAGTATGGATAACATGGGGAGTAACTTTCAGAAAACTGGAATCTTGAAAGACATTGACCATTGTAAAGGAAAAAACAAAGAAAATGTAAAAGATCATGAACCTGGGAAAAGTTTTTCTGATGTAAACAAGAGTTCTCTCTCTTATGCTCCCATCAATCCGAGTTTGTCCCACACACAACCAAATGTGAAATTTAAGACAGTTACTTATCAAGAAGTGGAGGCGCCAACTGAATGCAAGCAGCAATAAATGATTGATAGAATTTTTTATTTATTAAAATGTTTGTTGTTTTTTGCAATGAATATATTATCAAAACAGACGATGAAGCCCAAAATGTTTTGATTTATTTGTGATTGTAGCATAGCTGAGATTGTCAGTGTCACTGAACAGGAACATTATTTTTAGCTTCTTTCCCAGTCATTTTCAAGATTAGAGAGAAGTCAAATAATTGTACTAAATCCAAGTAGTCTGTAGATCTGATGGTAGTTTTGATTTTTGTTGTATGTAAATTTAAACAAAATATATTGAACTAACTTGCACAGTACCAAGTAACAATAGAATTACAAAAATATAAAGCACCATACAAATTATTTACTTATCCCTTTTCATTTATAGATACTTTATTTTATAAGTGATCTTTCTTCCCTATGGCATTTATAATATGCAGCAGGTTGCCTGGATCAGTCAGAAATGCAATGGCTTAGCTGAGTTTAAGACTTATTAATATGCACTACTAGATTAACACATGGATACACATAGAACATAATTATCTTCTGTTTGATCTGTAATTTTTTAAGATACTATCACTGGCTTTTTGCTTTCTCCATGGAATGAACTCATGCTAGTGTTATTTGTTTAATAGTTTAACTGCTTAGTTGTCAACAACAGTCTTGTTGAAATTTGGTCTGTATTTTTAACCTTGTGTTATATCACATCTTCATCATCATTGCTTTGAATTCCTCGTGGAATGTAGGGCCTCAGAAAAAACATGCCACTCTCCAAGGTCTCTTGCTATTTTTTTTATGACTTCCCAGCTCTTTCCTCCGGTCCTCTGGGCTTCCTCTAGTACACCGCGTCGCCATGTTTTTTTTGGTCTTCCTCTACGTCTTGTTCCCTGGGGGTTCCACTCTAAGGCCTGTCTAGCTCTGTTCTTGGTATCTTTTCTAAGGGTGTGACCAATCCATCTCCACTTCATCTCTAAGATCTGCACCTCTATATTTTTCTGCCCACTCATTTCCCAGTCTGGTGTTTTCTACTTTGTCGTACCAGTGTATTTTTAGGATATTCCTCAGGGCATCTGTTGATGAAGGTCTGTACTTTTTTAGTTGTTGCTTCAGCTGTTATCCATGTTTCAAAAATATCACTGGTCTGTCTATTTAGTTTTGCCTTTACTGACCTGTCCACTCTTGTGGGAATATTGTGACGCTATTAGTGGTATGTGCTGAGACTGGGTTGTTGTCACGATGGTAACAAGTTTGAACCCCACTGTTTGTGCCACCCATGACGTCCTGAATTAGGATGCTGCTATCTCCATTTATGAAAGAATGTCCTAAAGTTGTAAAACTAAAACTTGTCTCCTACTGCCATTTGCTAGTCCGCTCAAGTGTACTTATGATAGTATACATACAAGAAAGGCATTTTCTTTTCTTTTAGAATATAGTGTTAGATCTGGCAAAATGTGCTGGTCGCATCTACATGGAATACTGCACTCATCCATAACCTGAATCGAAAACAGTCTTACTTTACTTTTTGTTTAAAGTTATTTTAAACTATTGTGCAAATAAGTCTCCCACTGGTTGTGCCATGAAAGAAATTCTACTTCAAATACTATTAGATTAATGTCTACAATACCTACTCTTTTTTTGTAAATGAGAAATCCTGTGACAAAATAAATTGTATTAAAGCCTACTTATCTTAGTCAATTTTTTGTATGCGACTGACTTATTATTAGTATAATTACACTATAAAATCAGTGAGCTTAATAAAATTACATCTTTGGTAGACTGAATCTCACACAATCCAAAGATGGCAACTGCAGGAGGCTTGGCCTAAAAAATTTATAATGTTGTCAAAACAGTGACATTACTACTACAGAGAAATTGGCTTGCTCTTACTAGAACAGTAGCTCGGGAGTGAGAAAGTGTATAAGTGCTTGTCTGGAATAATATAAAGCAGTTTAGAACTATCTCCAGGCAAGTGAATATTTCCACATCAGTTACTAAAAATATAAAAAAGGAATTTCAGCTTCAATTTGATCTTGTTTAAATTAATTCTACAATATTGGATATTTGTATGGAGAAATTAGTGTTTATGACACAGTATCAACTAATTAACACTTATGTTATTGTTTCATGTGTCATTTCATTTCACCACGGACCCAGACTGCACTCAAATGTAAATTGTTGAATAACTAGATGAAGAATCTGTTTTGTGAAGGCTCTCATCCAATCGCTGTATGTCCAATATATGCTTTGCTTTCACCTGCTGTCCGGCCACAAACTTTACTGTTAATTCTTTTATGCTGTTTCAAGCCATAGATATTGTCCAAACTGTATTGGTACTGCTTTTCAGTTTTGGAGAGCTTTTTTTTTAACTATAAGCCAGCAAAAGTGAGGCATCTGTTGTTTTTTAAATACTTGGTGGAAAAACTTAAAACATGAATCACTAAAATTTCTGATTGATGAATTAGAAGAATAGAAATGTCTGTGGTTTAGTTCTTAAAGAGGCATATTATAACACTAATTACACTGAGCCATATCAATGCTAAATTAGTACATATACTTAGGAAAAACTTAAAGGTCATAAATATCTTTTGTTAACATTTGAACCGGAAAGCTTGACATTAGGTTTAATTTATTTGTTTTGCAAAATAAGCTTGTCCCACCCAAACCTAAAAAGAGCCAGCCACTGCATATACCTATTATGAACACTCTTTTGTGTGACATGAGATTCAATGTATTGTGATGCTAATGAGTAATTGCCTTAGTTTTTATTCAAAGGAAACTTTTCTAAACTTTGCAACTTGCTGTTCTCTTGGAGAAGGTAGAATCTCTCACCTACATGTAGGGCCAGTCCTACAGATTGCAGGACCCTATGCGAAATGGATTGCGCATTCAGATCTGCCTTTTAGAGTTACTATTGACTAACAAAATATCGCTTTTGATTTTTTAAAGAGATCGAGATAGATCTATATTTACATGCCGCTGACTATTACAGAAAAATAAAGTATCGGAACTTCTGGTTTTGGTTAAAATTCCCCTTATTATTGTTATTAAATGAAAGCTGACATTTACCTTTTTTTTAATTGCGCGTAAAATTTGCATTTTCCATCTTGAATGGCACCCCAAAATGACAATTTTGTCTATTTTTTAGGACACGTTTTTGAGTTTTCAGGATATTTTAATAATTTCAGGAGATATCCAGGAGCTCCTCGAAAATCAGGAGGCAGCGGAAACCCTGTAATAGGTTAAAATGGTTTAATTTAATAGTTTGCAACTAGTGTTAGTGCGGGGCCAATGAAAGTGCGGGGCCCACTGCGGCCGCATAGGTTGCAGTGCCCTAAGGCCGGCCCTGCCTACATGGGTAGCATTATAGATGTAACAGATGCTGACATCAAAGCAAGGTTTGCCTTCATACAGCTAAAAAAAAATATTAGAAAACAGAAATTTCCTTGACAACAAATATTTATCCTTAACTCAAATCTTAAGGCCATTTTGCTATATGGAGCTAAGACCTAGAGAACAACTAAAACTAACAGAAAAGTGCAAACTTTCATTAACAATGATCTTTTGCAAAAATCAACCAATGATCTTTTGCAAAAATCAACCAATCAAATTCAAACTCCAGTAGAAGAAAAGATTAGGCACACTCTCTGCAAAGCACCATCTAGAATTACAAGGCAGGCATGAAGTGTAACCCACAAGGCAAGAGAAAGAGGGTGTCCTATATGGACCTGGCAGACACTTTAAAGTTTGGTTACACCCGGAAAAAGAAAGAATGGCCCAGGACAGGGGGCTATGGAGATATATTGTTGGCGACCCATAGGGGTGATGGATTGTAATAAGTGACTTGAACAAACTGTGAATAAAAAACAAAGAAGTAGTTTTGTTTTCATAGCCTTTAATTTTAACAGGCTCATTATAATATTTGTATGTAACACTAATAATAACAAAATCCCTCAATTCCTCACATTTCTGGGAGAATCAAACACAACATATATACATCACATGACACAAAAACCCAGCTCAATCTTTCCCACCCAACTCCAGCTAACACTCTCAGACACATACAAGTCTCACTAAACCAACAACAATGTACAGCTGCTGTTGTTGATTTCTCAAGCACAGCTTCGAAAGCAAAACCTTTCCCAAGTGTGTCCAACACACTTAGAAATAGGAAAGGTTTTATATCAAGTACACACTAAAAATATGACAAATTCATCATGAAAGTTTCTGGGCAAAACAAACAAAAAGAAAATGTAACAGTAAATACAATGTACAGTGAGTCTCTCAATATTCTATAAATAGTTTTGGTTATTAAGCTAAACCAAAAAAAAAAGACTACTAACAATTTTGTTTATATTTCGTAACACAAAGTGACTAGAATATTTCCAGTTCACACTAAGTCAGATACTGGCTTTACATCATGATTGAAGTCACCATTACGAAAGAATGGGTTAAATTCACACACACAAAATACATTATTTCAATATTTGTTACATTTTCTGACTGTATGGTGACATTTGGACATGCCAAGAAATTCTTAATTTTCTATATCTCGATTTAAACAATCTATATTTCCCCGAATTCTAAATGAATTTAACTTGAATCTTCAGGTGCACATAAAAATAATCTATTTGTAAATTGTTTCTGTCTGATATAAACATAATGCCTGAGGTAATGGAAATTACAAAAAATAGTTATACATATACATATACAAAAATAAGGCAGTTTTTTATAAAGTTTGAACATAAGGTAGATATTCCTATCTTTCTCCACAAGTTTTAGAATGAATTTATATCGATGTCTTAGTGACAAAATAGAATTCTATATTAGTTACACTGTGGACAACTAAGAAACTTCAAATAAATTAATCTCATTACAAAATCAACAACCATATAATGGACTTAATTCAGAAAAACTTTTAAAAAACCCACTAACCAAATAAAAAAAATATGACTATACCCAATGCCCTAAATCAAATTATCCACAAAAAAAAAAAAAAAAAAGTAGCTCACATCGAATCTGTCAAGTTTTGAAAAAAAAAAAATCTTTTTTATATTTAAAATTATTGTTTCACTAGACAAGAGCACATATAAGTTTTAAAAAAAATTTTTTTCACAAAATTGTTTAAACCCCAAAATAGACACTGAACAGTAAAATGAATATTATATTTATGCCTAAAATGAATTATTGAAATTTTATAAAGTGAAAAATGATCCAGAGAATACTGTACCTCCAATGGTAACAAATAATTATCTTGTCAAGTAGAGCAACTTGAATTGAAACAACAAAGTCATTCTAGACTAAATCTGAATACTGATTAATAGAGCTCCCCATTCAATCTACACAATCTATAAATTACACCCTAATAAACATCAACTACATGTTCACACGCATAATTTTAACACACATCAAATCAAACCCAGGGTTGATATAAAACAACATATGATTGAAACATCAGAATTTTTCAGAAGCCAGATATTTAAATAAATCTTCCTCCATTCCCAATTCAAATCCCTTAATTTTGCTACTAAAACCAAATTTATTTGACAATTCCCCCCCCCCCCCCCAATTCTTCTACATTAGGTCTAAATAAGGCAACATATATAAGGAACAAATATTAGAAATATTTAATCTAACATTTATACACACTTTTGTTAATTAAGAACTATATTGCAGGTTTTAATCATAACTTACTCTATCTCAACCCTGTTGGAATATAACCTGAGCATGTTATATACATATATACTTAGTAGAATATAGTGTACATTTTGAACAGTATTGCTGTAGTGAGCTCAGTTAAACCTAACATCTTGATAGCTGCTAATTCAGAAACAATACAATTATGTAATCTTCAAAGCTGAAAAAGTAACTTCTTAAACACTGAGCCAATAAGAAGCACTCAACAGCAGGCAGACATTTCATTTGAACGAAAAAATGTTCTCACAGTATTCCATTTAAACAGACTACAAATCAGAGTGTAGTATCCTTATGCACTAGAGCTTTGAAGTACAAGTCTTGCGTGAATCTGTTGAACATTATTTGAACTTTTTTTGTGTGTGTTGCAGCTAAAACAAACAGTCATGCTCCAGATGAAATGTGACCCAGACGCTCCAGTCAGATCTAATCACTCACAGGCATCAAGGCATGCACCACTGCTTCATACGTTGCCATGACAATAGCTGTGTTAGGAATCTGTCGAATCAATTGAGTCCCTAGTCCTCGGTAAAGTCCTGCCCGTCCTTCTTCCTTGAAAACTAAGAAGAGTGTTTGAAAAAAGGAGTTGTAACGTGAGCCTTCCTCTCTCAAACGAGTCCTTGCAACCTCTGAAATGACATCAAAGTGTTTCAGTTCTAATCTAATTATATAAAGTAAAAGTCAAGTTCCCCTTTCAGACCTTGTTGTCTATAGGGCAGATGATGTAAAGGTCATCTGTTTCTGTGTCCTACAGTTAATGAGGGTGTCATGTGAGAGCTGGGTGGACTCAGAGGCGCCCAAAGATCCAGAAATTCAAAATCCCATTCTTCACCAGGATTCAAACCCAGGCCCCCGGTTTGGAAGTTAAGCGCTTTATCACTCAGCCACTGCGCCTCAATTCTAATTATACAAGGTAATGATACATTTTTTAAAAAGTTCCCCGAGCTCTTATTAAACATATTTATTACCATTCCCTGATCTCCAAAGTTATTGAGGATGTTATGAGGTCAGCACAATGCAATGTGTGATCAAGTGACATAAATGCTTGGTTGCCTATCAAGTGGGCTCAAGTTTAAAGCCAAAATCACATTGACGTGTTTGCTGAGCACCTAAACCTGCTCCTAGATACCAATCACCGGCTTATTATTACTAATTTTTTGTATTGAATTAGAACCAAGAATATATTTCATCTACTCAATGTTTAAAATTTAATGTATGTAATAGTAAAAAGTCTAGCTAAGACTTGCTTAACCTTAATTTTTTATTTTAAAGTCTGTCAATACCAAACTTAATGTTAGAGATTGCATAATTTTTTAACTGATTACATTTCAGATGTATTTGTACAATGATAAAAGTAAAAGAAAGCTACACAATATTTCTAGTAAACCTTTTGGATTTCAGTTTTCGATATTTTCCATATATTTACATACCAAAAATATTCAATAGCACATTTTCTTTCTTTTTCCCTAAATTAGGAAATAGCTGCATGAATGTGCTAAAGAGAAATAAGAGAGAGAGAGCGAGAGAGATGGAGAGAAAGCCTTCAAGGGCTAATAAGTATCTTATAGGGAAGTGTTAAAATGCAGACTATTTAATTGGAAGTGCAAAAAAAAAAAAAAAAAAAAAAAAAAAAAAAAGAGGAGGGGAGGTTTAGGCCAAAACAAACAATACCTTGCCTGGAAACATATCAATGAGTATAGCTGGTGTGACTTGCTAGTATTTCCATAAACAGAGTTATTTTTATGACTTAGCAAATCTATTTTAGTATTAATCAAATAGATGTGGGGCATGGTGGTAAGTGGTTAAGCTAAATAAGAATGACTCACCATGTGGATAACACAAACACGTGGCACATGTTTTGGAGCAGGCACCTGCAAGCATGTATTTCAAGTAGTCTGAGGTCAGGAAAGTTTCTTTGCTATAATCAATATCCCCATCAATGTCAGGCTCGACAGAATCTTCAAGCCTCTGATTGGCAGCAGCCAGCCTGTCATGATTAGTCTTTTGTTGAATGTGGGCCTTGATGGCCTCATAAATGACCAGATGGACCACAGTTTCACTGACCCCAAAGTAGGAAGCACTGATACCTTTGTAGAAGCCCTTGATGCCACTCTGTTGGTAGATCCTCCTGATACATTCCCGACATGTAAGCTTGTTCTCTGATCTAAACAAAAAGTTTTCAAAAAATATTTCAAATTTAATTTGTTTTCAATAAGAGATACAAATAAGAGAAACTCATCTGAAACAGTGTGTCCATATGTCTCAGGTTTATATAACAATTTCTAAAACTGAGGGTGCTGCTAACATGCAGCATTCAGAGGACACATTTTATTGAATCCCAAAATGTTCATGGCAACATAACCTTCTTCTCATTATGTCTTGCTCAAACTTTCATGACAGAAACTACTATCTATCTGTACCATCACTGTCTTCTTGGCCCAATAAGCTTTTATCTTCAGGGTCCTAATATCTGCTCTATTTTTGGAATCATTAAAAAGGAAATTTCTTCTCAAAGATAACTTGTTACAAAAAGACATTAGCTGGCTGGTGAGCTGGGTAATAGAATTATTATTCAGAAGTGCCCTTAGTAAAACTTTGCTTCTCATTCATCTGTTATTTAGATTTGTTTTATCCAATCAACAATACATACATCCAGTTCTAAATATTTACTAGGGACCCCAAGTTACTGCATTATAATAAAACTTATTTCAGTGTTGTGGAGGGTGTATGCAGGTTTTTGATGTATCGATGAGTAAAATTATAGCAAATCTTTTGTTTGTATAGGCTGAATTAAATCTGATGTAATCACACTTCCCAGTTGAGTTTTATGCTAAAGAGAGGTAAACGTTCCCCTTTTAGACCTCGCTGGAAATAGAAAATGTGTATTTGTTTTGAGACAGAGTTGTTTCTTGTTTAAATTATCATTGTTTCACTTTTGTTTCTCTATACATCTTCATTGAAGCGAAATCTGTGCATATATTGCCAAATAACAGTTATGTTCATTCTTATTTAAAAAGAAGTTTGTACAAGTTTTATTCAAGTTCTGCAAGTTTTATTCAAGTTCTGCATTTAGTATATAATATGTCTACAATGGTTTTAGTTGGGCTAGCTGTCTGGGGCTAGGACCTTTTTTTAAACAATTAGCCCCCAACATGTGTGCACACAGGATCAAGTGCCCTCCAGTAGTAGTGTTGTTTTGTACTACAGTGAAGTGAAGAGTTCTTTCTAAGTTCCTATCCTGACTTTGGTGTATTCATTTACAAATATGCAAGTCTTACAATGCCTTATTTTAAAAAGAAAACTGCCTACATAAGTAGTGTTGCTAGTTAGCCCATTCATAATAACATCAAACTGAAGTGAATACCACTGCAGCATTTGAATCTTTCTATCCATATTCAACAGATAGTATCTCTAGCATCTATCAATCTCAAATCTTTCATTCAAAGAAGAAATAGAGTGTGTTTTTTTTTTCATGGAGTTGCTCAGGTGTGTCAGCCTTTCTCCCCCATCGCTCCCAGTGTGTCATGCCAGGTCATGTTTTTATGTTGTCAGTTTACGTGACCTCGGGCGCATAAAATAAATACTTTACAGAATGGCGAACTCTGCTGTCTAAAAATAAAAAAGGAAGGTTACAGCTTCAAGCAAGACTGCTTAGTTTCCTATCGCGCGTGTATTTCAAGACAATATTTAAATCTGGTTTAGAATCTCTAGACGTAAACACGATTATTAACCCTTCACGGCGCGAGTAAGAGCGGGCATTGCTTGTACTTGGTTAGCCTTGACCTATTTCTCTACATGTCAATAGTTTTGTGTCGAAGCAACACACACATTTGATGGCCTACGTGAGTCTACTCCAACACAAGGAACCCCTAACAACAAATATATCTAACGGAAGAGACAAAAAAGCTACGCGTAACGAGAGAACATAAAAGTAATTCATATCTAGCCAACTGCCCTACTACACACATCTCTTTAGAAAACAAATGGCTGCGCTGGGTCAAGGGATATTACTCTCACAGAATCGGCAGACGTGTTTACATCGACGAGTGCGACACAATATGATTTGATAAAGTCTTATGATTAGTCTTATGATTTGACTAAGTCTGCACACTTTTTTCACCCACCCACATTCAAAATGCTATTTGTTTACCGATTTCTTTATCAAAACTAATTTGATGTGTATTTAGTAAGACGAAAAACTAGATCTATAATTACACGCATAGGACGTAGTAATCTTTTTTTTTAAAGTAACGTCTGTATTTTATAAGATAATTATTGACCAATCCGAGAACAAAGCTGGGTAAGCCGTGAGCTACTTTTCAAACTCTAATGTCGGAGACGGGAATGAATTGTAGGTAGGGCAGGGGTTCTCAACCTGCGGGTCGCGACCCCCTTGGGGGTCGAATGACGATTTGCCAGGGGTCGCCCAAGACCATCGAAAAGTGTCTACTCTTCTATTGCTGTACGTGTGTGTGTGTGGAAGGAGGGTCGCGGCAGAGTGGTGGATTGTAAAAAGGGGTCGCCGAGCATAAAAGGTTAAGAACCGCTGAGGTAGGGGAGACAATGTCTCACCTTTTTCTACCTGTGTAGTCTAGAAACATCACTTGGCTCTAACGTGCAAGCGTTGACCCAACGATACAGAAATAACCTCCTAACCTTGAAAAGCGAGGAGTCGAGAATTAGAAGTAGGGAACCAAAAAACACTATCTACACAATAAGCGGCTCTATGGCCAATAAAAGGTTTAACAAAAAATAGTTATTTACATACAATTACATACAATTGAAGGAATTTTTTTTTTACAGCGTGGAGGAAAGGCCGATACTAGCTGGTTCATAACCTACTTGCCCACCAGCGGACTACAGTACTAAGAACA